CTAGAAAATATAAAAAATATAAAATGTCATAAGAAAATATATATATAATTTTATAGAAAATATTTATAAGAAGCTATAACTATAACTATAGCTAATAAACTATAACTAATACAAGAAACTATAAAATCGTATCTCCTCTCCCGGAATTGTCCATTCTCGTGTACAATCCGAGCGTCGATTAGAGACAATTTACTGTNCAAAAGATGGACGCGAAAATAGAGGATTTGGGAAGAGGTGATTGTTCACACACAATTATTATTATTTATAGTTGTTGACAATCGGTGAGACTACATAATTATAATTATATTATTATATTATTTATATATATATATATAATATAATAATATAATTATAATTATGTAGTCTCACCGATTGTCAACAACTATAAATAATAATAATTGTGTGTGAACAATCACCTCTTCCCAAATCCTCTATTTTCGCGTCCATCTTTTGATTCGCATCTGAGCGCCAATTAGAATTTACTATAAAATTCGCTATATACTACAATCCTGCAAATAAATACAAACAACAACAACCAGGCAGTTTGAACTAACAGAACGAAATCTTTTTCAGATCGCAATCGCAGTTTTCCTGACCCTGATCGGCTGCGGCGCAGCGTTTCCGGCGCGATCGTCGAGCGACCCGGCGACCGTAATCGGAGTTCCGGTCCTGATCGAAGATCCGACCGGTCTGAAACCGGCAGCTGATTCATCCCCGTTGGTCTACGGCCTTCTGTTGAGCAGACTGAGCCCGCCCGAGGACACTGTAAACAGCGGCACGATCGCGAAACGCAGCGCCACCATGGACGAGGAAGATCAGGACGACCTTGAGACCGCGGCGGGAACGTACGCCCTCCGACCACTGTTCGTCTACAGACAACAGCTGGCGTACAGGGAGCGCGTGAGAGAGGCGAACCGCCGCGGGTACCGATTCTGAGTCATCGTTGACACCCCGCGGCTGTCGTCGACAGCCAAAAAAGCAAGCGAAACTGGACAGTGATTTGGAAACCAAAGAGACACGCGTGGCCTTCGTCCGACATACTTTTGCGCCCTCCTCTCTCTCCCCCCGGGCGACCATCGTCTTTCATTAGGATTATCATAGGCGTAAGAAGACATCGTCCGTAATATAGGCGAATAAGAAGAATCCTGGCGACTTTAGAAGCGGAAGGTCGCGCAGCTTCAGAAGGAGCTTGGATTCACTGAGAACACGAAGAGTTCGCACGGAGGGGAGCACAGGACAGGAGTACTTAAGTAGAAAGTAATTAAGGTCTGCAACAACTTCGAACGCGCCGGCAGTTCTTCGCGGCTTCACGGATTTGAGTCCCGGCGGCGCGACAGTGCTCGTCGAGATTAACAAACACAACAAAAAGAAAAAAAATGAGAAAAAAAGTAGCTATGCGATGCACGTCGCTAAAGTTTGATCGCGACAGAAGATTTGAAGAGCGCGATCGCGATGCTTGGGACTTGAACGTTTAAGGTCGAGAGACGTAGAAGAAGAAGAGAATGAAGAAGAAGAAGAAGAAGAAGATGAAGATGAAGATGCATGTGAAGATGAAGATGAAGATGCAGGTGAAGATGAAGATGAAGATGAAGATGCACGTGAAGATGAAGATGAAGATGAAGATGCAGATGAAGATGAAGATGCAGATGAAGATGAAGATGAAGATGAAGATGAAGATGCAGGTGAAGATGCAGGTGAAGATGCAGGTGAAGATGCAGGTGAAGATGAAGATGAAGATGAAGATGCAGGTGAAGATGAAGATGAAGATGAAGATGAAGATGAGATGAAGATGAAGATGAAGAAGAAGAAGAAGAAGAAGAAGAAAAAGAAGAAGAAAAAGAAGAAGAAGAAGAAGATGATGATGATGATGATGGGGGAGACGAAGAAGAAGAAGAAGAAGATGACGATGAAGGAGAAGAAGAAGAACAGGATGAAGAAGAAGAAGAAGATGATGATGATGAAGAGGAAGATGAAGAAGAAGAAGAAGATGATGATGATGAAGAGGAAGATGAAGAAGAAGAAGATGATGATGAAGAGGAAGATGATGTTGATGAAGAGGAAGATGATGATGATGAAGAGGAATATGAAGAAGAAGATGATGATGAAGAGGAAGATGAAAAAGAAGATGATGATGATGAAGAAGAAGAAGATGATGATGAAGAGGAAGATGAAGAAGAAGAAGATGATGTTGATGAAGATGATGATGAAGAGGAAGATGATGTTGATGAAGAGGAAGATGATGATGATGAAGAGGAATATGAAGAAGAAGAAGATGATGATGAAGAGGAAGGTGAAAAAGAAGAAGATGATGATGAAGAGGAAGATGAAGAAGAAGAAGATGATGATGATGAAGAGGAAGATGAAGAAGAAGAAGGAAACATAGTCGCGCCACTTAGCGCTTCGTTAGAGTTGGAGCGAAAAATAGCCGCGCCGCTAATTCGACGGGGCCTCGAGCGGATGACAATGGCGTCTCTTCTGGACAACAAAGAGAGCGCAGAGGAACGAGCCATCGCGGATCATCGAACAGCCTTTCTAACCGACCCGATCTCTCCGAGACACACATTCTTCTCAGCACGAAGAAGCGCGCGGCCGCGTGATCGCTAATTTAACCGTTTAAGCCCTTTTAATCTTAAGTTCGACAAGCTATGAACCAAAGCACAACCAACGCATCTATTTAATTGTAATTATTCCTATTTAATATCGTCGATTCAAGCACATGCAAAACCGAGTTTGTGATACGATTTTTCCCTTTTGTTTTTTTTTTTCTTATTTTCAGCGACCGAGACTAGCCAAATAAATTTCTAAGATATACATGATACACACGTGAAATCATTTCTCTGCGATATTTGCCAAAATGTACCTTTATTATTCAGAAACAAAAATCTGTGTTATCTGCCCGGGAACACGGGAACGGTGATAAAGTGTCGCCTGGGTCGGCTCTCCTCGCTGGACCAGTACCTTCGTTCCGTAAACGGGCTCCGACGACGATACCAGCCGTCCAGCGTCCGTCCTCGGTCCTGTTCGACACCGTCGAGCATCTCGTCGGAGTCCAGGTTCCTCTCCTCGCGAACATTCGTTGCCGGATCCTCCTCGGACCCTCGATCCGCCGTCGGGTCCTCGCTCGAGTCGTCGTCCTCGCTCGGCTCGGACTCGTCCTCCTGCTCGGCCGCCGCGCTATCTGTAAGCTCGTTCGAATCGGATCGTCTCAGACGACCGTACGGAATGTTTCCTAGATCTATGATCAACGGCTCGCGGCTGATCGCTTCCACTTCGGCGGTCCGCATCGTTCGGCGGCTCGACGCGAACGTTTCGTCGTCGTCGACGACGGGGTTTGCGGTCGAAGCGTCCGACGAGACGTCGGAGCATAATTCGCGTCTAACGGTCTGCCCTTCGACGGTTTGCCCTTCGACCCGCGGGACGATCCCGGTGATTGGAGCCGCGGATTCTGAAGCGGATTCCGCCGCGGCCTCGTCGGCGGCGCGTTCGCATTCGTCGCAGAGGGCCGCGTTGTTGTTCAGCAGGCAGAGCAAGCTAAGGGAAAGAAGAACAAAGCCCATTCTCGTAAATGGCGGCCGCGAAACGTAATGGTATGTATTCGGTTATCTAAGTGGAACTAAGAAACAAGGAAGCGGCGCTCCCACTTTTATAGGCCGTATCGAAACCACCTGCTAAATCGATCGCTAAACAGCGGGATATTGTTAACGACGCACTAACGCGGAGCCGTCCGTCCCGAATGATCCGCGACGACCTAGAACACTGCTGCGCGCTGCTTCGTTTTTTTCTTTCCTTTTTTTCATTTTTTTTCCTTTTTTTCTTTTCGCCGCGAATGCCACGTGTCGCGGGTGTTTCGTCACGAGACCACGTAAATCCTCGATGTATACGGCGAAAGCAATGGCGTGAGGTATTTTTAAATTATTCTTCTTCTGTCGGCATTGTTCCGCGTGCTTCGTTTATTCGTTTGTTCGTTTTCGAGAGACACGTGCGCGTTAATACAAATTAATAGTAGTTTTACTTTACTTTTNGTATATATCTTTATATTTATATTATAATATATATTTTATAATATATCTTTATATTTATTGAAATATAAAGATATATATATATATATATATATATATATATATATATATATATATATATTATGTAATATTGCAATATGAAGATATATGTTATATAATATTGCAATACGAAGATATATATTATATAATATTGCAATATGAAGATATATATGTTATATAATATTGAAATATGAAGATATATATTATATAATATTGCAATATGAAGATATATATGTTATATAATATTGAAATATGAAGATATATATTATATAATATTGCAATATGAAGATATATATGTTATATAATATTGAAATATGAAGATATATATTATATAATATTGCAATATGAAGATATATATGTTATATAATATTGAAATATGAAGATATATATTATATAATATTGCAATATGAAGATATATATGTTATATAATATTGAAATATGAAGATATATATTATATAATATTGCAATATGAAGATATATATGTTATATAATATTGAAATATGAAGATATATATTATATAATATTGCAATATGAAGATATATATGTTATATAATATTGAAATATGAAGATATATATTATATAATATTGCAATATGAAGATATATATGTTATATAATATTGAAATATGAAGATATATATTATATAATATTGCAATATGAAGATATATATTATATAATATTGAAATATGAAGATATATATATAATATAATATTGAAATATGAAGATATATATAATGTAATATTGAAATATGAAGATGTATATAATATAATATTGCAATATGAAGATATGTATTATATAATATTGCAATATGAAGATATATATTATATAATATTGAAATACGAAGATTTATATTATATAATATTGCAATATGAACATATAGATCATATAATATTGCAATATGAACATATATATTATATAATATTGCAATATATGAAGATATATATATCTTCATATTGCCCCTATTTTTTTTTGGTAACCTGGAAAATGGACCGGCTCCCATTCATGTTTGCACAGCGCTGTGTCAATTTGCTGTGTCGAACAGCGAGACGGTAAATTATGTGTTCCGTGGAAAGTTGCCCCGATTCTGGTTACGTTTTATCGATGAGTCGACTGACTCTCTTGAATCATCCGATCGCTGCTGAAGGGTAACTGACACGGAAGTTTGCGCTTCCTCTTGTGTTAGTTTCGGTTCCAAGATCGACGTGTTTTTCAGCGAATTTTCCACTCTCTCGGTTCTATTCATCGTACTTAGACCGCGCACGCGGATCTTTATGCAAAATAACACTGTTCGTATCGGCTCTTAGATCAAACAGGATTTACATGAGATTGTATTTCTCCTTTTGATGACGTTAGTTATTAGCGAAAGCAATGCCGTTGTAGTATTTTTAAATTATTCTTCATCTGTCATCGTTGTTCCGCGTGTTTCGTTTATTCGTTTATTCGTCCTCGCTGTGAATGCATAAAATCCGTGGCCTATTCGTCGGTATTGATAAACTGCGACTGTGCACGAGAGACACGTGCACGTTAACAAAAATTAAGAATGTTTTTACTTTACTCTAAAATATTTAAATATGATATATATATATATATATATATAGGT